TGTTTAAACTTTAATTCAGGTTGATTTGATTGGGGTTATTGTGAAGCGTATATGTTTTAATTTATGGCTTGCTTTTTTAATTTGGCCACTAAATGTCTGCTAATAAAGTAAATAACACAGGTGTTTTAAATTTTAGATAAAATCAAAACAAAAACAAACAGCTTAGACCAAACTATAGAGTTAAGCTGCTATTTAACATATGACTGTCATAAATATTGTTATTCTTTAGTAGTAGTAGAACAGTAGTAGTAGTTAGAAGTAAGAAAAAAAGCATCACATTTTTTCCCTTAAAACAACATCACGATTTTCCTCATGACTCTGTAGATGTAAAATAAAAATTAATATGAGAAGGCTATTATTCTTATTCCCAAACATGTGGTAAAACAGCAACAATATTAGGTCTATGTGTAGGTCTACTGTTGGTTACAATGCTTAATTTTGTGTACACGTTGAATGGTAGACTTGAACAGACTTTTAAATATGTCCTGGTTGTTAATGCACAGTAAAGTGATGCATCAGAATACTATTCACAATTCTGAAGTTGAATTATTATGTTTGAGATATATGCTTGTCATTTGTCATTGAGAACATTAGACTTTTTTTCTCTGGTGTAATCAGGCATTTGTCATGATCAGATTCCCTCTTGCATTATTCAACGTTACACAGGCTGAAGTAGTTATACTGACCCAGTAAACATTTATTTTCATGCACAACACAAAAAAAAAACATATCAAATGCTTGTCATAATCATAAGTCTAAAATGCGATATGAACATTTTGTATGATCATGTTTGCTGTCACTTTGAGAAATAAAACATTCATGCAAATCATATTTCCAGCGCGGCTCCCAAACGATCGATCTGTCCAACAAACTGAATGTTATTTACAACTTTTATTCACAGCCTATGCAGGTCTGTTCACTAAAGTAGATATTATTGGTGGGCAGGCGCTGGTCCTCTCAGTTGTAAACAAACAGTGCATCAGCTCATGCGTGATTTTGCGGCCGCCAAAACATCATTACATTATGACAGAAAGTAAGTTTTTGAGTGAATTATACCTTATAAATACAGTATGTGACACAGCATTTGGAGGTGTCCATGTTGCTGAGAAATGTATATTAAACAATGTGAAGAGTTGTGCGCCTGCCTTTATGCTTCACTCCTGACCTTTTCAGAATTGTCTGAATTGTAGAAAATCATAATTAAGATCATGTGTAGGGTCCAATCAGGATTGCTGTCTTTTTTCGTATGTTTGTGCAGCCCTAGTAGTAGTGGTAGTGGTGATAGTAGCAGCAGCAGTAGTAGTTACAACTAGTATTGTTAAAATGCAAAACTGATTTTACTTGGCTGTAAAAGGAGAAATAAGAAATGATGCAGGCTGATATGCACTATAAAAAACATTGTCAGTTCATGTTTGTGTGTGAAATAGTCTCTTATGCTTCTAAAATTAGGGAAGAACAAACATGTGGTCTGTCATTTTTACAGACTTTGGGCCAATAACAGTTTGGTATAGCATAGCAACTCTCTGCAAAGCACTCAAAGCACCTTAGCAATAGCATTGCAATGTCCTAGCAAACCCGTTATCACACAGTCACATATTCTTCGGTAAATGTGAAAGAATATTATCAGTATTATTATTAAAAGAGAGGTGTGCAGACAGATGGCTCTGCTTCAGCTTTAAAAATAGCCTGCTTTTCACATCATGTGATGATAGGGTTTGTGTCTAGCTGAATGGAGAAAATATAAACACTCCATACTCACACATGAGATTATCAATTTCTTTTGCGGGTTGCTCTCCTCTCTTATTAATTTCTGAGATTTTTATCAATCTTGCATGCCTGTTGCATACAGATCTGTTGCTTTGTGAAAGCTTTTGCCTTTGCAGAGATTTCACCTCTCTCTCTCTCACACACACACACACACACACACACACACACACACACACACACACACGCACACATACAGAGGCAAGAAACAGACCTTCCCAAAAGCGAAACACACTCCTTCATAAATAGGAAGAAAGCCTGTCATATCAGAGGGGAGAATTTCACGGGCGGCTCCTAAACCCTTATCATTTTCCAAAGGTAATGAGAGTCAATCTCCCTCTCTGCTCACCTAGGCCTAACCTGCAGTCTCCCAGGCCCCCTATGCTAAGGCAGACGCTCTATCACAATGCCTGATAATTTACCTCTTCATAGCTGTGAAATGGAGGAAGAGAATTCAGGTGTGCAGCCCGGGAGAGACGCGGGGGCTTTGTGTCTGCACACCAAGGCCAGTTGACAGGCATCATGCGTGCGTGACAAGAGAGAAATGACTTTTTTTCTGGATTTAGAACCTCAGTCGTGCACATGGCAGTGAGATCAGGCCATCTGGAGTGTTCTTCCAAAGGATGTCCTCTTTCAGGCAAAATCCCAGTCTGTTTTTTTTTCTCATTTGGGTTGTTCTTTTCCTTGACATCTTTGCTGTTTCTTTCAATAATAGCTGTAAATGTAACTATTTTAAAAAGGGATCTCTTGTTAAAAGCCATTCAGAGGACTGTTTTTCTTCTATTTTGTTGGAGAAGTCTCTTTTGTTTGCTCTAAATACTGGTCAAAATGTTACAGCATGAGCTTCTGGGTTGTAGACATCTGAAAACGAATTTAAAGATTAAATTGATGCACTTATAGACAAAAGAGTGAGAGATGAATCAAAATATGAATATTTTTCATCAAGCACTCATCCTCATTGCCATTCCATAGTCATTACAATCTCTTGAAACAAAAATTTCAACTTTAATGAAATCTGAAATATTCGCTTTCAACTTTAGTCATTCAAAATGTTTAAAGAGACATTGTAAACCTAATCCACATGAATTAAGGGTATTTAAGTCTTTTGAAGAGACACATTTACTTCATACGAATATTATCCAATTGTATTTGGGCTTCTATTCTCACATACAGTACTGATGATTGGATAAACGGTGCATCCCATATCGCATACTTATGCACTATTCTATGCTATTTGGTAGTATAAATAGTGTGTGTAGTGCATCCACACTGAAAACTCTAATAAGAATAAGTGCACTTTAAATACCCTGATGATGCACTTATTCAACTGTTAAGAAGAAGTGTGGAATGTTGGATACTTCACACACTCAATGGCCACAGCTTTGCCCATGTAGCGGAAGGGGCAGAGCTTTCGGGCACTGGTGTTAGATTACTTTATTTATTTATTTTGGATTGTGAAAGCAAAATGCTCCTACAAGAGTGATTATACAGCCTCCCGATGGTAAATGTGGTTATACTCATGGCATGTATTATTTGGAAGTTTGGTCATACATTTTAACTAGTTTGGCAACCGTCAAACATCATCTTTGAAACGGTTTTAATTTTTGCTAGGTAAAAAAATGTTAGTGTTCTATTTGGTACGACACTAAATTCATATACTATGCTGTTGAGTGTGTAAGTGCATAAGTACATAGTGCATAGTGTGCCATTTGGATTGCAGCTAAAGTTTTATGATTTGGAAAGACATTAGGATTGGTTACTGATGACAGATTATGAACTATTTTAATTTACAGAAAAGTTCTGTTGTCTAGCATCCACATGTTTGCTCTATACACACAGTCACATGACTTTCTGACTGTACCAGTAGCATTTTTCTCTCTCAGTGGTAGAAAGGCCTTTTTATTCACATGATTAATTTTCTTTTTGCCAAATTGTCAAATTGTCCTTGGTGGCCCATAGTAGCCCTGCGGCACTCAGTAGTGGTCAAAAGAGATTTTTTAAATGATTTGTTCTCTCTGAGATATCAGCTTGAGTGGGAATATTCAATTACACCAGGTGCTTTCTGTCAAGAAGCGGTAGGTAATTCAGTCTGCAATTTTCTTCTGCTAGATGAGATACAGACAACAAAATAATCCCATGAACACTGAAATGACCTCTCATCCCCTGGCAAAACATTTACCACACAAGTAGGCTAAGCAACAGTCTTGTTTTGGTTTTTCTGCATTGTTCAGAACTCTTTATCATTTGTGCCATGTGTCCAAACCATTTCACATAAATGTCGACTAAATATCACTAGGAATGTTCCAGAAAGAGAAATAGTTGGACAGAACTTAAAGATACTGAATAAGCAGTAAACACAGTGATGGATGAGCGCTGACACCAGAACAAGAGCTACGCGCTTAAATATGAGCCATGATTCACTGCGACTGGTCACTCGGCTCTTATATAAATGTCATAGTCAAATCTTCTCAATCTAAAAATGGCATCTCACTCTTAAGTCTGATTGAAATGCAGGCCCATTTGTTTGTTAAAAATAAAAACGTGGTGAGGCCAGTAATGACATCGTCTGTCATCCTCTCTGCCTGACCGCTCTGGACCTATCGGCTGTCATCTAAACTGTGATTGACAGTAGTCATCCACCAGTGACAAGTCATCAATCAAAGCAAAAGAAAGCGGAGGGCCCCAGGCTGTAGCCATGGAGACAGGGATGGCAGAGGGGCCCTCGCCTTTCAACCCTGGCACATGTATATTTCAGAGCAGATAACTCTGTATGGTGAATTTCTCCATCACCTTCGCTGCACCTCTCCAGCTCTCAAGTGTTAATTGGCTGTAAACAGTCAGATGCTCTAGCTGGAGTTGACGTCCCATGATGAATGCTCTCGGCAGATCCTTATCCCGCTGTGTGTGACAAAATGGCACGCTTATCAGTCTGTGCTTTCATTATTCTTTGATTATTTGCCATTGCACATTGTCTTTTTGCTTTCTGTTTGTGTAAAATTTTTAGTATAATATTAAATAGTTTATTATAATATTAAATCGTTTAATTATAATAGTTTTATGATGGTTTTAAGAGAAAGAAAAAAGTTTTACATTTAATAAAGATGAAGTAAAACATTTACCTTTACACTGAGACATACTGTAGTTGAATTCAACTTAGTTTGAAGACCTTAAGAAAGACGGATAACTCAAAGTCTCTGTCTGTGCTCAACCCAACCTCCCTCTTTCTCTTTCTCCAGCTTACCCGTGTGCCGGTGGAGGCCTGTGAGCAGTATTCGTCCTGTAACGAGTGCCTGGGATCTGGGGATCCTCACTGTGGCTGGTGTGTTCTCCATAGCATGTAAGTACAACCCTCCTGCACTTTGCACACCACGCACTGTCCTGCCAAATGTAGAATAATGCCATTCCCACACTACAAGAGTTTCTAAATCTTACCCGATTATGAAAGATACAGCACGCACAGGTTACAGCACGCACATACAGTAAGGAGAATTTTCACAAGTTTTCCTCTTTTGAGTTTCAAAGATGCTAAAACTGCAAGATCTGAAATTAGGCACATCTCTTATGACAGGATGTTACTAAGATTATGATGCTAGAGGGAGCTCCTTGTGTAATGTTATGTGACAAAATAGCCGATGTAGACAAAATGGATACATCTATACCATTACAAAATATATCAGGATCAGCTCAAGCATCTAAATCTAGGACAGCCAGGAAACAGTGAAGCAATGCATTTTTTTGACTATTTAACAGATGGTCAATGATGTTAATGTTCACATTTGCTAGCTTAGCAAGCTATCAGTTTTCTACACTGAAAAAATGATTTCACTTCAGATTTTGTCTTTATTGGTGAAGCTGAACAGTTGTACAGTTTTGATCACACATTATATAGTTTTTATTGTCACATTTGAACAAGTCTCTCCCTCATCTCTGAAGTCCAACTGATATGTGCTGCAGGTTTCGTAGTGGTCATTTCAGTCTCTGTGCTTCTTGTCTATTGTGAACATACTGGTGTGATCATGGACATGATCTTCACTAGGGCTGCACAATGTACCTTTTCAGCATCGATATTGCAACATGCACATCTGCATTAGTCACATTGCTGGATCTACAACAATTTTAAGTTGGAATATAAATGACCTGTGATTGTAAGCATGTTAAGTCGATTTCAGGCATTCAGGCACAAGAAATTATAAAGTTTGTAACTTTAGGAAATATTAACCATATCTAAGTATTAATATGATGAAGAGTATGCTGGGTCATTTTACATTTGATTAATTAATTTGTAGCGGAATTCTGCAAGACTCTCAGAAAATACTGTTTTTATAAGATTATTTGCTTTACTGAATTTATCAATGCTTGTGATTGGTTTATTATATTTTATGCAAATGCACTCCACTACAAAATCATCTTTATCAATCTAGAATTATAAATTCATTCCAAATTGAGCCAGTCGTTTCATCTGATCAAAGTATACTCAGTGTTGCAATATGTATCGCAGAAAAGTAAAATAATGCAATGCATGTTTTTTCCAATATCGTGCAGCCCTAATCTTCACATTTATTATCTGAAATATTAAAAGTGTTTGATATGATTAGAGCAGTCCTGATTTGTGTGAGAGCAGAATGGGGTGCTGTTTAAAAAAATGTCATGCCACTTCTGGATTGAGTTGTATTTTTTTAATCTTGCAATGTAGACTATGTGTTTCATATTGAAAGCTGTGATAATTTTGCACTTTCTCCAATCGCTATGCTTTTTCAAGGTCATGTAAAACAAATTCAGTTTTTAATAGTTTTCTTCAGTTTAAATCAGTTTATTTTATGAACAGGTTACTTAAAATTCTAAACACCTTCAAAGTACTGTCATTGCAAAACAACATGACATGACAAAGTGCTGAATTTCACATCCTTGCTTTCTCATTGCTGTGATTTTAGTTGGAAAGAGTTTATTTGTTATTAAGAGGAAAACACCCATCACTTTATTGTATTTTATCTTCATCTAAACATTTCTTAGCCTTCTGGAAAATATCTGAATGTGCTCTGGTTTCCCAAACTTCTTTTTACCCCTAAACGAAGAACTAACATGTACTTCAGTGTAAGTATCAGGGCTATCAGTGTGTGGCCTGTGAGTTGAAGAGCAGCTCTCTTCACCACCGCACATTTTCTCCACTAATGGATCTCAGACTCTTGTGCACACACGGACACAAGTAAACACACATACTCATACAAGGCCCACATTTCCTCCCACTGTTTAAAAAGTGAGCGTGATAGATGCTTTAGGGCCTCAAGGGACATCCACAATTCCCACTTCACTGTAAATTGAAAATTGGATTCTCGTCCTCTTTTGGGGACCCTAGAGAAGCGTGCATGTGTGCAGAATGGCAATCTTAAGCTTTCTCACAACTCCTAAGCTCCATATTCAGTGACTTCTTGGTTTTAAAACACTACCCATACACATGCACACATCACCCGTGCCACTAAAGAACCACAGGTCTTGCAGTCATTGGCAGTGTTTCAGACCAAGAGCAACATTACCCTCTTAAGTGCAAAGGGTGAGGGGAAGTAAAGATATGTGTAGACATTCAGGATCTCTCACTGTCTCTCTCAGGGCTTTTGAGTGCACTAGACACGACAGGGGCCATGGGCACGGCATTTGCCACATGGCTGCCCAAGGTCAGGCATGCTTAAAATCTCACACTCATCTGTCTCACACCATCTCCCTCTCTCTTTTTCTCTCGTTCCTGTTTGCTTTTGTAAAAGTGAGAGCTGCATTAAGGCTGGACAGTGAGACAGGTGGTCAAATGGCCTGTGCTTGTAACATTCCCTCCCGGGATATTTGATAGTTTCAGTCTTTAACTCAAGCTTTAGAGTATTTCCAAATCCAGCTGATGCTTTGTTAGTTGTAGGAGACGTAGCTTGGTTTACTTCTTTATATAAATTCAAATCACATTGAAAACGTGTTGGAATTTAGGTACTGGTGTGTAATTCTACAGAAAATTCTAGTAGACTATATGTTTTACATGTATTATAAAACATGTCATGTTATATTGTGTTTTTGAAAAAAATACCAGACAGTGTTACAATTTTGTGTGTCAGCCTGTATTCACACTGCAGATAGTGACCGGTCAACCTACCATGATTGTCCATGAAGGAAACAGGTCATTTGTGAGCGAAAACTGTGCTACTAGTGAAAGCTGGCTCTTTCTCTCCTTTACTCTGTCATTTCTCTCTGTCCTCTGGCAGCAGAAACAGTGTCAAGTGTACACGGGACACAATGCTAATAAAAACAGCAGCAGTTTGTTGTTTAGCCTCAGGTGGTAGAAGGACCAGCACGCACAGGAGGTCTTTATGTTAGTTGGCAACACATGCAGCACGGCTGCATCTGCAGAAGCCAACTCTCGGTTCCATTCAGGGTGCTTGCCGGCTCTTATTTGGTACTCCTTTGTCTTTCACTGCATTTTTCACATTAGCATCCTATTCGTCCCTTCTGTTTTTCATTACTTTCTTATAGCTTTCTCTCTGCTCTCGTTCCTCGTGGCCTCATGCCCAGAGAAAGTGAACAGCACCACTCTCTGATGGAGTCAGGCAATCCGACCTGGCCTCCCCAGGTCCCCGGCTGATTGATTGCCCTGGAGTTTACCTTTCCCATTCTCTCCTCCCCTGCATACTCAACCAGAAACCTTGTAACCTGAGTCATGCCCACAGAGGGCTCTCTCACGCCAGGTGTGACTCCTGCCAGCACACCCCATTTGTCTGCTGTAATCTACCCAGTTTTAATGGGTAAGAATGGGGAAAATTGCTTATTTTAACCGCTGTACACCAGAGCGAGATTCACTGTCATCTATTGTTGTCATTTTAATGAGAGATGAAAGATGTTGTAAACAAATCAATAGAGAAGGGCAGAGATCAGATGGACTGCACTGTCCCCCTCTGATCATTTTCAGTTTGAGATCAGTTGTCATCTTCATAAACTATTTTTACCCGATATGAGCTTTAGAAATGACTTGTGTAGGTGTAATTCAGAGTGATTCATAGGCATAGCAGGAAAAGCTTGGCTATTGGTGAGGGATTAAAGATTAAATCATTAAAAATGTTAACAAGAAGTGGAAATTAACTGTAATAATTGTCTAATTGTGATCATATTGGTAAAATCTAGCGCTGCCTCTTCCTCTGAGAAAAGCCCAGTTACCATAGTTACCCATGGGTTTCTGGAGAGGAAAATGAAGAGGAATGTCTGGCTATTTATGGAAAGAAACACACCAAGTTTTTGGCATATAAAAATAGCTGAAATTCTTGCTTTAATAGTCATCAAGCAGTAAATGCAAACAAGTTTATATAGATTTGAGATATCATTGATGTTTGTACCACAACTATTGGGCACTGGTTTTAAATCAAGGTTGAAGATGTGTTCAGATATTTTTAAGGTTAGTTTTTAGCTCTCTTCCCAACCTCTATTTCATACCATTTGACATGTCATAGGAGTCAGAAGAAGGATAGTCCTATGGCACAAAGCAACAGTTTCTGAGGGCTGTTTTCTGTTAAGTGAGGTCAATATGCTGGCCAGCAAAGCATAAATATAGTAACCCAGACTGCTGGAGAGCAAGAATCTGTGATGAGTCGGACACCGCCGGTTCTCCAGAGACATACAAAAGTCAACATAGTTCCACAAAATCACCAGAGAGAGAGGAAAACAACACGCTGAAGCGATGGATGGATGCCTGGGCTTATTTGTTCGACCCACACTACTATTGATCATAGGGAAAGTGAAGCAGAGGGGTTAAGGGTCAAAGGGGTCCATTTGAGAGGAGGTGTGTGTGCTTATAAACCACTTGGGGGGATTGTGTGACAGTTAATTAACAATGCATTAACTCAGTCTCAGGATGCTTGGCTCTGACCTTCATTTTGTAGACTGAATACCACGTAGCCCCTTAAACTCTTGGGTTTTAATTTATTACAATCATTATTATTTTGTCTTAGTGGACAGTGTTAACTAATCTTAATACTTTATTTCTTGAAAGTTTAAAGTCAAGGGGCATTAAAACATGGAACACTTTGTCAAGATGTGTCGAGAAGGCAAGGAAGAAAGAAATGTGCTGAAACATCAATGCATGTTTCGTTTAAATGTCTTAAGACAAACCTGAGGCAACAGTAATACCATTAAAATACCCTTTTCAGATCTGAGGCCATCTGATTGGATAGCAAGGGAAAACAGACAACTATCTGTGAATTGCTGCTTAGTTTAAGAGCCTCTCTGCAAGTTTGTTTATCCCAATCAACCTTCAGATAACCTCCCCCTCACTATCAGCACAGGAGCAAAGCCGCCCGCACCAGACTGCTGTTT